AAATAAACAAAAAGATACACTTTTACACTATTTTAAAATAATTTGTACTCACTTGAAATCTAGAATGAATTATTTATACCAACAGGAGAATTACAAAGTAAGTTATGACTAAAATGTGATTTTTGTATAGGAGGTAAGACTTTGCAAGGGGATAGCTTAACAAAATATAGCAATTACAAAACCAAATGATCTGCCCTTATTATTAATACCATAACCTTGACCATATGATTCTCAATTAATCCTTAATATAGGCAGAAAGCTTTGGTCTAAGTTCACCTTAACTTTCTATACAGAGCAAATTTCCTGAATGGGTTACAAACATATCCAGCCATTGCTTGTAATGGATATCTATTGTTGTCTGTCCAGCACCCTTCACCCATTTTTGCTGACCCATCACCCCCACCGTCCCCCATTTTTAACTTTGTCTATCCCCGTGATTACTACTCAGGATACCATGCTTGTTCAATGTTTGGTGGATGGCCCAACTAACACCCAGTTCCTAGATATCCTCTGTATCAATGACCTTTCTCTCCACTCTAGCACCCACTCTCTAAAGATTCCCTAGTTGAAAATCACCACAAAGAATAGCTGTAATTCTGTTAGAACATGAAATTTAACCACACCCATCAGTCCTTTCCCTTTTCTTACTCTCATTTTACCTGTTCAATTTCATCCAAATCTTCAGGCTCTTGCCCACTCCTCCCAGACCATCATCTTCCCCACCTCCTTTCCATATCCAGCCAGACCCCCTAATAATCAAATCAATAATTCTTTTATTAGAACCCTCCATTTATGTTCCATCCTTTGTTTCCAATAACACAAGCCAGAACAGTCCCCACCCAGATGAATCACTCCCAACTTCTGTTCAGGTGACGGAGCTCTCATAGAGAAACCTGCTCAACACTTCAGACTGGTGGCATTCAGAGTATAGCAGATAACCTCATCACCTCTCAGTGATAATCTGTAATCCTTTCATTTGTCCCTACCCTGTTTGCTTCCACACTCCCTTGGATCACTATTCCAAACCTTGACCACTTTCTTAAATTCCTTGCATCATCCAACCTCTCCATCTCTATATCTTTAGCTCTTCCTTCTTCATAGTGAAGTAGAAATCACCAGATGGCAGCACATTCACCCTCTCTACTCCTTCACTTCAAGCATTCCCATTAGAGCACCAGCTTTTACTTCATTTATGATTATTTCTGAGGAACAGGAGTCTCTCTTCCTGTCCTCTAAAGGCCACTATTTCTAGCTGTGCCCTAAGTCACAAACCAAAGAAACCTTCAGAGATGCTATCTTTCTTCTATATCCTCACCTGCACTTTAGTCTAGCTCCTTACCCTATAACAACAAGCAGATCCATCAATCTCACTCCTCAAATAAAATCACCACCAACAACAGTAACAAAAATCTACCATTGGTCCTTCCATTTTTTAAAATATATTTTTATTGCTTGCAGAGGTTTGTGTGAACTAATATAAATTCAAAGTAAACATCATTACATAAAAGGGTACGGTCTTTTTTTTTTTTAGTTTTATTCATTTCAAACGGGCCGGATCCGACCCGCAGGCCGTAGTTTGCCCACGGCTGGTCTAGCTCCTTACCCGATAACAACAAGCAAATCCATCAATCTCACTCCTCAAATAAAATCACCACCAACAACAGTAACAAAAATCTACCATTGGTCCTTCCATTTTTTAAAATATATTTTTATTGCTTGCAGAGAGGAAGGGAGAGGGAGAGAGAGATAGAAACATCAACGAGAGAGAATCATTGATTGGCTACCTCCTGCATGCCCCCCACTGGGGATTGAGCCTGCAACCAGGACATGTGCCCTTAACCAGAATCGAACCTGGGACCCTTCAGTTCACAGGCTGACACTCTATCCACTGAGCCAAACCGGTTAGGGCGGTCCTTCCATTTTTAGCTATTTCCCATTTCCTTCTTCCATTTCCTCATCAAACTCCTTAAAACTATGTACATATATAATAAATAGACAATATGTATATTTTATGTATTTATGTAATAGAACCAGATGGCAATATTTTGAGGAGAACACAGAGATTGAAAGGAATAATATGTAATATTACATGTGAATATATATGTATGTACATATATAGTTTGTTCATTCATTATTTAAATCATTGCCATCTGTTTCTAACCAAACTGCTAGACTGAAAACACCCACAATAAGTCACCTATGATCTTATAAGTACTAAATTCAAAGCTCTATTACCAAGTTCTCTTCCGAAGTGACCAAGCAGCATTTTAAAATTTATTGCCCATAGCACCTACCACCTCTTTACATATTAGAAATTTACTTGCTTAGTGACTTTCTCCTGCAGGATGTACATTTTTATGTGGGCAGATATCTTGCCTTTTTGATTCACTATCTGGAATGGTACCTGGCATGCAATAAGTGATCAATGAATATTTGTGGGGTAAATATCGCCCACTCCCTGGCCAAAATGAATTAGGCCAGAGGTGGAAACCATACCCAAACTGGTAACTTCAGCTGCTTCCCTGAATGTTTAAACTTGGGATCAAGAGAGTCAAGCCAGTCTTTCTGTGTGAGTGTGAAATGACCTTCACTGTGAATGGAGAGAATAAAGCAGACTGATAGAGGAGACAAGACCAAGAACACCCTGACAGAATTCAAGCCCCTGGTTCCATTTATCCCAATTATCAAAGTAAATCCTATCCCTGGTCTCTGTGAAACATCCCAAAATCCTTACAGTAAGTTATCTTTTTATCTTGAGCTAATTTAGTCTCTTTTACTGTTGCTTAGTACCAAGAGATTGCTTACTAATATACTGTTCTGTAGTTGAATAAGCTGAAAATAAACATCCTACAGCCAATTTTCATTTATTTACAACATCACATTTAAGTACTGTTTATGGGGAAAGGGTTATTTTCATCTATTCCCTAAACAAGATTACACAAACATTCATTTTTTTTTCTCTAAAGCCATTTTTTTAAATGAAGTCTGGTACTTCATGATAATTTCCCTTAGGCCATAGCAAACAAAATAAACCATTAAACAGAGAGTGGTTGAAGAACCTAGCTACAACAGTATATACCAAATTAAGGCTGGGGGGCGATCTGAAATGCATCTTAAATTTTGCATTTAGAAACAACAAAGCTCTATTTTGGAGAATAGAAACTGAATAATTGCAGCATTGTAGCTCATGGGTACTTACCAAACAAACGCTGGTGGAAGAGAAATTTGCCAGCTATTAGTCCTATGAGAATGGCGAGTAGCCATAGTAGCACCTTCAGAAGCCTCCAGCTAACTCCTTTGGGGTATTTATTTGTTACAAATGAAAAACAGTTTCCAACAACAATAACATTAGCTTCTGTTTGGCTATGAGAAACTGGGTCCTCCGCAAATATTAAGAAGTTAAAGAAGATCACCAAGTAAGCCACAATCAGGCGAGACCAGGGGTGCTGGAAATAATAACGGAAGTCTTTACCCATCCTTCAAAACTTGAATTCCGTCGTTTACCTGGATAAGAAAAGATACATAGAGTTAGAGCAGAAAAACAAACAGTCTCTCTTCCTGTTATATGTTCAAATTTATAATGGCTCAATAAAAAGTTCTTCAGAAAAGATGATACCTGTTCCTACTTACAGCACCAAGACAAGTCTGAGATTGAGTATTGTACATATTGTGCCCTCTCTTGTCATCTAAGAATGCCTATGACCACAGGTGGATTTGGAAAAGAATAATCAAAGAATAGGGGGAGAGGAAGGGATAAGAGAGGACAGAACACTGTTTAAAATTAGGATAATGACTGAGATGACATGTGGCAGTCACCTCAGGAGGAATCACAGAGCAAGATAACATAATGCAATACTTTTCCTCTCTTAAATTATTTTTGTTACTGTTATAATCCAGATTTGCTTAAAAATTAAAGCAATGTAGCAGTTAACTGAGCACATATTCTTCTAGCCAAATCCCTCTCTCCAGAGTGAAGAATCCTGATAATTTGGTGGGTATGCTTTCAGATCTTTTTTTAAACATTGACGAATATACATATGTGTATGGACTTTCATAAACAGTGTTCGCAGCCTAGTTGTCAATTTCAACACAGTAAGTTTTGTGAAATAACTGAGTCTATGGTAGAATCAGGAGGGATTGGGCAATTCCTATTGTAGGAAGGAAGTGGAGAGAAAAGAAGATTTCACAGAGGAGTAGATACCCAAGTTCAAGATTGAAAAGATAGCCTAATTTCTTTCCCCAAGTGACGAAGGCAAGGATGCTCAATCTAGGCATATTGAAAGGTGTAGAGGCCATGCAAAACAGCTAACATGCCTACAGTGGTGGTCCTAACCTGGATGTGCATTGGAAGTGGAGAAGCTTTCTTAAAATTCTGATGTCAGCCCAGCCAGTGTGGCTCAGTGGTTGAGTGTCGACACATGAACCGGAGGTCATGGTTCAATTCCTGGTCAGGGCACATACCCAGGTGTGGGCTCAATCCCCACTAGGGGGCATGCAAGAGGCAGTTGATGGATGAATGATTCTCTCTCATCATTGATGTTTCTATCTCTCTCTCACTCTCCCTTCTTCTCTAAAATCAATTTAAAAAAAATCTAAAATTCTGATTTCCAGACCCTATCTCCAAAGTTGTGCTTAGCTCCTCTCTCTTTCCTTTTGGGAGCCAGCCTGCACAAAAAAAAACAAAACACAAACAAACAAAAACCAAAAACCATATTAAGCCTTCCTAGGTCTACCAGGACTGTGGCTGGGTGATTTTGCCTAATTCTGAGGTTCAGTTTTGGTAAGCCTATCCAGTGCTCAGACTAAGCTATATCTCCCCTTTTCCCCAATAATAAAGCTGATTAAACCCAGGATAAAAACAATAATAATAAAGGCAAGATTGCACCACAATCTGCCAATTCTTTTTTCTTCCTTTTCAATGTATCTAGAACTGAGAGAGAAAAAAGGGACTCTTACAAAGCCTGCAGTATGTGACATCCCGCCTCTGTGCTGGATGTCTGCATGCATTGTTATTTCATTGTCCTCCTAACAACCCTCTGAAATAGGCATCACTTCGTTTGCAGGCAGGGAACTGAAGCTCACACAGATTATGTAACTTCCAGAAGTCATCCAGCAGGAGTGCTCTGATTTGAGCCTCTGGAGTCTGACCCCAAGTCCTGGTCTCCAGCCCCTGCCGGCAGCCAGATCAGCCCCAGGCGTCTTCCCGGCCTAGGGCCCAGCCCCAGGGATGTCATCCTCCGAATGCCTTCTGGAGATATATTCTTCTCTAGAGATGATTCTATTAACTCTGTCATATAATACATTCTTCTCTAGCACAGGGAAAAATCATATAAGTATATGGCTAAAAGTACAAAGATCAGGCTACGTGCCTGAAGTACCTAAGTCAATCGAAGACCTAAGAATAGGCTCCAAGGCTCCCAAATCCAAATCCAATATTCTAGGCTGATGAATGCCAATTAAACCCACAATTTCAGTTAATGAAGACTTAAGTATTTTAGAAAAGCAACGTAAACACAAAAGGAATGACCATAAAATTCAGCAAAACAGTCACTGTGCCTTGGCTTCATCAACCCTCTAAGCCATTTCAAGTCTCTTGTGATCTGTGTGTCTTCTCTGAAATATCTGTCCCAGGGGCTGCAGCTCAGACACTTAGGAATGGTGACAATCACAAGTTTCTTTCTATTTTTTAATGTAAAGTTCATCACCCACTACAGCAGCAGAGACCTTCATGGTTCTCACACTGAAAAGAGCAGAGAAGGCAACAAAGAACAAAAATGATCACTAGGTCAGTGATGGCAAACCTATGACACGCGTGTCAGAGGTGACAGGCGAACTCATTTTTTTGGTTGATTTTTCTTTGTTAAATGGCATTTAAATATATAAAATAAATATCAAAAATATAAGTCTTTGTTTTACTATGGTTGCAAATATCAAAAAATTTCTATATGTGACACGGCACCAGAGTTAAGTTAGGGTTTTTCAAAATGCTGACATGCCGAGCTCAAAAGGTTCACCATCACTGGTCGAGGTCATGTGTTTTCAATGACATTCAATAGGTAAGGATGACAAATGGGTCAACGTCAACCCGATTGCATGCAACATCTCTGGAAATGTCCAGAGGCCACCATTACAAAGAATACACCAATATCATCTCAAAGCCAATGAGTCTTGAAGCAGAAGTGATGCCAACCTGCCATCAGAACTAGATCGGGGTATCATTTAAGAGGTTTCTCTGTGGCTTCTCTAACCAATGAGAAATTCTGTTGTAGTTGCACCAACCCCTCCCCCACTCCCTCTACCTACACTCAATCAAGGCAGCAGAATTTAGAATACTGAATACATGTGACTTTGATTCTTTTTAAATAAGTGCTTGGTGGAGTGTTGGCATATAATTATTTTACAGTTGCTTTTAACTTCAGAATCTTGCTTTGTGGGCTATATTGTAATGTCTATATGTCTAAGTTGAATTAGAACATTTAAAAAAAAATGTTGGAGATAGCTATTCCTCTCCAGTAATCATATTGTTTCAAGAGAGAGAACTATAGAATTAAGTAACAGACCTGCACTAGAAAGAGATTTTAATTCCTACCGGGATGCTATGAATGCTACTGTCATGCCCTTGTTACAGGTAAGAAAACAAAAGCTCAGATATCCAGGAAGTGGAAGAGCCAGCATATGAATCCAAATCCATTCCTAGCCCTTGCTTTTTCTAATATACCTCAAAGCTGGAAGTGCTTCTCCCAATAAAATATTTTCCATCACATTTACAGCTTATTCTTAATTTCCACTAACAGATTTAGTGACTTAAATACTAGCCAAAGGAACAGGGCTCTGTTATTGATCTTTTAGTCTTTTTATTTTATGCTAAGAATGGCTGATATTTATCCGTGCCTCATACTCCAAAGCTGAAGTGATGTCTTCTACAGGGACTCCAATTTCAAAATCTGCCTACCTTGAATAAAACTGCTCTGATCCCCACTTCCTGATTTTATACACAAGGTTGCCACAAGTTTGCCTCATCATCTCAGCCCAGTTTTCTAGTTCCTCGGGCATCTGATATCCAGAGCACCAAAACTCTTTTCTCTTCTATAGCTCACATAAAGCATCTTTATGATCAACAGGATCACTGGTGACTCTAACATTAATAATCTAGGATTAAGGCTGTTCAAATAGACTACGCTGCCCAGTACAGCGCAGTCAGCAAACCCTTTACATTTGTTTAAATCCAATTCTGCACCCATGGATGAGTTTTTATCTTAGTTAAGTTTGCTTTAATCTTGGCTCTTATCATATCATAGTGAAATGATCTGTTTATGTGTTTGTCTCCCTTTGTGGATCATAAAGTCCTGCGTGGGGGGGGCTATTTACTTCCAGGACACAGCTCAGTGCCAAACTCATAGTGGACTATCAAGAAACACCTGCTGGAGGAGCTGAGTGGTACCCTCCAAAGGATAAGCCCCTCATGGTTCAGGAGAGATGAGAAGAAGGCAGATCAACCTGCCATTGACTAACGTTATGGAAAGAGAAGAGCAGAGGAGCCCAAAGACTGCAACAATGACTCGTCCAGTAACAGCAGTGATGTGGCCCCACCCAACACCATCTCATTTTAACACCAGGCTCTGCATTATTATCACTGTTACTAAGGCTGACATTTAGTGAGTACTTACCATGTACCGGGCACTATGCCAATGAGCTTTACAAACATCTCATTTAAATTTCATAGCAGCCCATTGAAGAAAATACTCTTATTTTACAAATGTTAAAATCAAAACTTAAGAGTTCAGTAACTTGTACCAAATAACAAAGGGAATCTCTGCCAGAGTCAGAATTCAAATCCATACCACCTGGCTTCGACACTATGCTATGCCTTCTCCACACCAAAAATAAATTCCAAAATCTTGCCCTTTACATGTTGGCTAAAATGTGCCTGGTAATAAAACCATCTGATATAAGATTCACGGTACTTCTAGGATAAATGAGCCTACTATTACTCTTCAAAATGATGTGGTAGCACGATCAGAAAGAACGGGAACTATATGACTGCCTACAGAATTGCTCAGATTTTTGTTCTTTTTTGAGCATCTGTATAAGTAGTTGAGCTGATCTGATTGTCCTTTGGTCATGCATCACTGATGTTCACTCTGTGATTTTCCAAGGATGCTTATAGAAAACACTGCATCTCTCAGATCTCCACCATTTATTCCCTTTTATAAGTAATGACATCATGAGGTATAGGACACTATCATTTCTTGGTAGTCTCTGCTTTCTCACATTATAACAGTGATGAAGATATTGGTAGCTACAGGCTCAAACTTTAATATACTTTCTGATAATCCAAAGGCCTTCAGTCATGGGTTCCAACTCTGGCGGCTCTAATATTTATATTTGATCTTAGAAATGCCACACATTTTACTACAAGCTGGTAGTTCACCTGGCATTAAAGGCTAAGAATGGAGAGGAATTCAAAGAAAAATGGGAAAGCGGTGAGGACACTCAGGTTGGGA